CCGCTCGCCTCGCCTGCCTCGCCTGCCTCGCCTGCCTCGCCTGCCTCGCCTTGCAGCCTGGCCCAGGCCAGAGCCTTATGTCACCCTGGCCACGCCGTCCTGGGACAACAGAGAGTCGCCCGCATGCTGTTCGCCTCAGGCCAGTGGACTTAATGGCTTTTAAGTCCCCCTTCTCTGCCGTAGTACCCCAGGCCCTCTGCTTCTGAGACAGGCTCCTAAAAGCGTGCGTGGGGCCTGCCACCCGTGTCTAAAGCCCGTGCCAGGCTCCTGAGCCTTCAGACTAAAGCCTAAAGCCCTGACCTGGCAGACCCCTTCCTCTTCAGCTCCCGGGCTGTCCTCGCTGCCTTGCGGGCCAGCCTCTCCTCTACCCTACGCCTAAGTTTCGTTTTTGCTAAGGCCTTTCCCTTACACTCTTGGTGGGGAGTGGCCCTTTGCTCCCTCTGCCTTTGCCGGGACAGTCTCTGAGGCCATCCCTTCGCTTTCCTTGTCGCCTGGGAGGGCCCCAGGCTTGGCCGTGCAGGCCCCAGGGTGCTGTGCAGGCAGCTGCGGGACCCGTTTACACATCCCGGTGCCCCAAGCTGGGCTCCTGGGCCTTAGGGACCTCGCTCGCGTTTGGTCTTCAGGGGCCAGGCTGCAGGCGGTCATTAAATCAAGCACAGGCTGTGGTGTAATGATTGTGCCCGCTTGTGGGCGGTGCTTCCACAGCTCCGTGTGCAGTTTGTGATGCTGTGCAGTTTACGACCTGTCAGTCGGTATTTCTTCCGACGCACAGGCGGCCCGGGTCATGAGCCCCCGGAGCGGGGGCCTCAGGTTGGAATGCTGCCTTTTACTTCCGGGGGGGGGGCCCTTGCCCAACCCCAGTCTGCGCTGGCGGCCACATCCTTGTCCCTGAGCTGCTCTGAGTCTTCCCGGGGTGCCCAGAGCAAAACAAAGACCGCATTGAGCTTCTTCCCTGAGGATTCTGAAACCAGACACGAACGAAACCGAGGGAGAGAGATAAGGGCTCCCGAGCTCGTGCCTCGCCAGCGGACTGTAAATAACTCCTTTTATAACTCACTCTTACTCAACTTTCTTTTTCCACTTGATGTATTTTATTTTACGTTATTCTGAGAAACAAAACACAATACAGAGGGTAGCTCCATCTTGGATATAGAACAGTTTCAAGAATTGTAGGAAAATCATTGCAAATTTAATATGGCACTGGCCTACAAACTCAGCCTCATTCATTTCTTCGTCTCTTAGCAAACATGTATTGATTCTCAGCCGTGGTGGGCCCTCTGGCCTGCATATTAAGGCGAGCACAGAGGGCAGAGCCGCTGGCCCCTCCCTGCCCCTTACACCCCAGGGCCGGGGCTGGGGCAGGGACAGAGCACGTGGACGGTCTGCTGTGGCCCGCACCAGGCCCGCAGGCAGTGCGGGGACAGGCTTTGCGGAGGGCGGCCCTCGGGGGCTGAGCAGCACGCAGGCTGTGTAGTGGGGTCCGGTGTGGCATGCGGGCCTGGAGGTTATCGGTGAGGCCACCACAGAGGAGGCAAGGCTTGCAGATGGTGTGAGAGTCTTCGCTTTCCCCCGGGGTAAGACGATGACCTGAGTTCACGGGGAAGCCCTAGTTCCCAGTGGTACCTGACCGGGGCTGGTTGGGCGGGGGGCCCTTGTGAGCTGCTGAGGTTTCCGTGAAGTCACAAGGGTGGGGCCTCCATGGTGGGCTTGTGCCCTGCTAAGAGGAGGAGACCGAGGCGCTCTCCATCTGAGGACAGGGCGAGAAGGGGCCATCCACAAGCCAGGAAGGACGTCTTCGCCCGAAGTGAAGCGCCAGCACCTCAACCCAGGTCTCCGGCCTCCGGACAGAGGCACATGAGGGGTTGTCGGAGCCCAGAGTCTGTGGCCTTTGGTTATGGTGGCCCGTGCTGATGAAGAGGATGGCGGCTCTTAATTTTAATTCCTTCTACTTAAGTATAAGCAATAAATTGCTTTTAAATATAACTTAATTTTCATTAATGTTAAACTTAAAAAGACGATTTTCTTGTCACTACACCACAGGAAAAATACTTAAACTTTCGTTAACCAATGTCACCCCCAAAATTTAATTTTAAAGAACTTTTTATTTCTGATATTAAAGTTATTTTAATATTTGAGTACTGAATAGTGTAATGGGTCTAATTGATAAGTATTTGTCAAAGTACTTATCCCTTATGCAACTTCAGGAATTTGTGTTCAGATAACTAAAATTAGAACAGACTGTAGTTTCTCTGCCTGACCGGTTCGTTTGCCTTCTCCAGCTAAGCTAAATTTCCAGATTTTACGCTCACATTCCAAACATCTTGTTACAACAAAGAAAGCGAAGGCGTAAGTGCCGTAAGACTGTCGGCGTCGACAGCAGCGACAGCCAGAGAACTGCCTGTGTACCTGCCCGTATTTCTGCTCGGATGTCAAAGAAGCAGTGTGGTTTCCCACATAGACACGACCTGGATTCGCTGGCGTCGTCCTGGAGAGAACGCCAGTGCCGTCTTGGCGGCTGTGTGACTTGGTGGTGGAAACACAGCACATGCGCAGACCTGCCTCTGTCTCCTAAAACCTTGGTCTGGCTTTGAACCGGTTTTCTGTGGGGTGCGTTTTCTCTCGAGAAACTACCAGCTTTGTCCCAAGAGCCAGCAGTCGTGGGGACGGACGTTCCTCTCAGGTGGTGCCATCGGCGGCTCGTGATGGAGGCCAGTGCACGGACATGCTTCGTGAATCAGCCAAGGACCTCGACAGAGGAGCCTGCAGCGGCCGCAGTGCACCCTCGCTGTGAAGTAGAGCGAGGGGTCCGGCGTGCCCCGGGGGGCCGCCCGCCGGGGCCGGGTACATCTCGGCCGCCAGGCTGCTGCTCTCACTGGCCCTGCTGGGGTCTCCGCTAACACAAGGTCCACAGAACATCTGTCATTTCCTTGGGGTAAAGATGCATGGACCGTTACAGGGAATAATGAACATCCGATTTGTAAAAGTAAACACACTTTCACCCTGACAAATCGGAAACAGAGGATGGAAGGTGGATGCTTTTCATGGCCAGGAAGTCCTTGCAGAGGAATCGGTGACGTCCGTGCCTGGAGGACATTGGCTCCAGGCTGCGCATCCCTGTCAGCAACCCGGCATAGTTGTCGGGGCACTCGGAGCTGTAGAGGAGGCGAACCCACCCTCAGGTGACTGAGGCGTCCCCATGGAGCCTGGATCGTGTAGTTTGGTTAACAAATGAAACTGGCATTTCTTTTTGTTCTGTTTTTCTGGGTCTTTATTTTAAGAAGAGAGTAGCAGGAAGGAGGGGCTCCTGAGGAGGAAGGGAGGTAACTACATTTTATCCAGACAAAGGCGATGCTGGTTTTTCTCCTGCACCCAGGACGTCACTCGTTCAGAACTGCAATCACCTGGTCCCCTGGCTGGCGAGACTGATCGGGGAGTGTTCCGGAACTCTGGGATGCAGACGCGCTGGGCTTGGCCAAGTGTTTGTCTCTAGTTATTGTCATGTGCTTGCTGGCTAAATGCTTTTGTGAAACTGTTTTAACCGAATCAGTGAATCGTGTGTTTGATCATCTGGCTTGCATCTGAGCAGCTCTTGACTCGTTCAAAAAATAACTCACTCTCAGATGATGACTCTCCCCAAGTGTTCAGGCGGCCGTGGCGACCTCACTCAGGAGATCGGGTCCCAGCTGCAACCAGACTGCGGTCCTGGGTCTCCAGCGGCGCCCGACTCGCCCACCCCGGCTTTGCTCGGCGGCCCGTGGGTCGCCCCTCCACCAGGCCTTTCCTCACTGCAGAGGAAGGAAGGAGTCATTTCCCCCTGCCATGCTGACCTCAGTAGAGTGCAGATCCATCTTGATTTCACAGAGTAACTGAGTTCTTTAAGGAGATGCACTGTCCTTTGGGCTTGCTGAAACACAGAGTGTTCTAGACACGCAGGGAGACATCTGTGAGGCCACACCTCGCAGGAAGGCCACGGAGCCACCGTCAGCAGCCACTTTCCCTGCTGGGCTGAAGGGCTGTGAGCAGAGCCAGACCCTGGTCTCCTGTGGAGGCCGAGCTTAGACCAGGGAGCCAGCCTCTCAGCAGGTGCAAGTGGGAGAATGTGTTTCCCGCGATTCCAGTTCTAGGAGGACAGGCTATGCAGCTATCGTGTTACTGGGGACAAAAACAGGGACATTGAGAGGAGGTGGAAATTTCTGTCCGAAAACTCGAAAGAATGCGTAGCATCTCAGATAGAAAATGCTCAAAAATAATTTTTCGAAAGACCATTTACTTCGTGCCAAGTCCCTGTGACCGACTCAGCCGTAGGCGTACAGTTCCTGTTTGGAACGTGGCTGAGGAGGGCGCTCCCTGTGCGGAGTTAGCGTGGCTATCGGAGTTAGTGAATGAAAGGGAGAGTTGCCGCCCCGAGGGTCCAGGCGCCGCGGAGGCCCGGGACAGGGAGAGGGGACAGGCAGAGGGCCTGGGCCTGTGCTGCACGCCCGCCCCCAGCCGCCCACCCGCTGGGCCTGCTCAGGCCCCCGAGGTGGGAAACCCACCCTTTACAAAGGATGACCTGGGGTCACGGGGAAGCGGAGGTCTCTTTCTGTGACGCGGAGAACCTTCTGGAGAGGGATTCAGGACAGGTTTCACTGGCGGGCCAAGGGTGACACCTGCAGGGGGTGGAACCGCCTCTTTAGAGTGGACACCACGCTGAGTCTGTGCACCTGGGAAATCAAGTTTATTGATTCGATTGTGGTCACACAGTTAATAATGATCAGCACCAGAGCCTACACCTGGGGTCTCTCCGCGCCCAAGCCTGCTGCCCAGGATGCTGACGTGCCAGAGGCTGAATGGGGAGTTCCCTGTCCTTGGGCTGGGCCCACAGTAAGCTCTTTGAAAGGGGGGTGGCCGTGTCCGCCCTCGGATGCGACCACAGGCTCCTGACGTCCTCACGCAAGGACTTGGCTGCCGGTCCCTGGCGCACGTGTAACACAAACTGCCTTCTGTTTCCTTTCTTTCAGTGCGGCTCCACGACAGCATATCAGAAGAGGGCTTCCACTACTTGGTGTTCGACTTGTGAGTACAACACGCTGGGTGTTTATGTCTTTTTGCTGCCTTTACAAAGTCCTTTTAGAATTAAACTTGCTTTTTCCCAATTTATAGTCCAACCTAGGGATCCAGTAATAGAGAAATAGTTGTATATAATTACAATAAATTCACATAGTGGACTAGTCTCTAGCATTTCAATATGATGTTTGGGGAACAGAAGAAAAAACTACGTCGTGTAACCTAAGTCTGGAGGTAAGTTAGTATCAGATCTAGCTGATTCAGCCCTTCAGTGGTGTGGATACAGCGGGCGAGACTCTGCGTAAGTGCGTCAGGCAGTGACACTTGGGGAAGTGATGCGACCTCACTCGGGAGTGAAGCGGGCCGACCGGGCCGAGGTTTGTGGGGAAGAGCGCCGACCCCGGGCGAGAAGACTGGAGCGTCGGCCTCAGAACCGCCCGGGCAGTGAGCACGGCCTCCTTCTCGGAGCCTTGTTTCCGCACAGCGAGCGAGGCTGCAGGAGCAGGTGGCGACGTCGTCCGCGTGCTCCGAAGCCCCCATCCCGTGAGGCTGCGGTGCTGTCCGCATCGGTTTGAGGTTTCCATAGAATTAGTGGGGCTACGGATGTCATTTTTAAATATTAGAAAATTTCTGAGGATTCTAAACGGTTAGAGAAAAATGCTGTTGTTACAGCTTCAAAAATAACATTTTTTTTTCCCCTAACAAAAATGAATCTTGGTACATGAAGTACTTCTTTTTCTCTGTTTTGAAGTGTCTGTGTTTTTCCCCACGTAAGAAATTCTATTCACTAGATACATTGTGTGCTTACAAAATGTAAGACACTGTGCCTAATGTTCTGGGGGAAAGCAGTGTTTCTGAAGATTTTAAAGTAATGAATAAGTGTCCCGCTGTGATACATTCAGAGAAGAACTCAAGGGGAGCTGGGGTGCCCCCTCTCGCCCCTCCTAGCCTGTCGTGCCACATAAAAGGCTGGGTCAAGCTCCACATTTTGTACTTATGTATATTTTTTGTTTCTACTGATTCTGAAATTATGTTGTGATACTAAATAGGCTTTTTCAAATGACACTCTTTGGCCTGTGGAGCTAATGGTTTTTATTGGTAACATCAGGACCGACGGCCAAGTCAGACAGCACCCCCCTTTCAAAGATTTTACAGCCAGAAAGTGGTTAAGGAACTTCGAAAACTCCATGGTGTGGACCTGCGGTGGAAAAGCTCGTAACAGAGTCACCAGGCCCCTGGCGGGGGCCACACACAGTGGGTCGTGGATGTTGGGGGCACAGGAAGGATTCGGGTTGCACAGACAGAATCCTGCTTGGCGCACCGTATTGAGCACACACGCACCCCGTGCACCGTCCTTGGGCTGGGCCCGCAGTGTAAGCTCGTTGAAAGGGGGGTGGCCGTGTCCGCCCTCGGATGCGCAGGCTCCCGCTCGGCGTGGCCCAGCTGCCTTCCATCTGCTGGGGTGCTTGGTGCATAAGCCACGGCGCAGCAGTTGTGCAAACCACACGGGCACGGTGGGGCTCACGGTGGCTGTGAGGACATCGGGCGCGTGCCCCAGACACTCGCTCGGCCTCGTGTGTGTTCAGTGCGATTCTCCGGCGGTGCCGAGAATGCTTCCCGCGTCTCACAAGACGCCTGTGTACCACGGGTTCTCCGGGGTTGTTGCGCCTCTGGGGGGTTGAGGGCCAGTGTGATTTTTCTGAATATCTTTTGCCTACTATTCACAGCAAATTTTGTTCTTCTTAAAGCCTACCTAATATACGCTTGGCTGCTTTCAAATTTGACGATTATGCATGAAGTTGCTCTGAACACAGTGTGCAGGTTTCGTGCGGGCCTAAGTTTTCACATCCTTTGGGAATACACATACCAAGGAGCACCATGGTTGGGTTGTTTGAATATGTTTAGTTTTGTAAAGAACCGCCAGCTGTCTAGCCGGCAGCTGTGCCGTGCTGCTTCCCACAGCACGCGGGAGGCTCCTGCCTCTCCGCGTGCTCCCCGCACGCGGCGTGGCCAGCGCTCTGGCCGGGGGGCGCTCTGGCAGCTGTGCCGTGGCTTTCAGTTGCCTATGATGTGGGCACCTTTTCATATGCTTATTGCCATCTGTGTGTCTTCTTTGGAGAGGTCTCTCTTCTGGTCTTTTGCTCATTTTTTAACCAGATTGTTGTTGTTTTTTTTTAACTGCAGAGTCTTAAGAGTTCTTTGTACGCTGTGGATAACAGGTCTCCATCAGATGCCTCTGCCGGTCTCCCAGTCTGTGACTTAGCTTCTCATTCTCTTGGCGTTGTCATTTGCAGAGCAGAAGTTTTGGCTTTTAAAATAATCCACCTTATTAGTTCTTTCTTTCATGGATGTGCCTTTGATGTTGTGTCTAAAAAGACACTGCCAAACCCAAGGTCATCTGTATTTTCTCCTGTGTTATCCTCTAGAAGTTTTGTAGTTTTGCATTTTACACTTAGGTCTGTGATCTATTTTGAGTTAACCTCTGTGATGGGTGTGAGGTCTGTGTCTGGGGTCATTTTTTATTTTTATTTTTTTATTTTTTTGGCACACGGAGGTCCAGTGGCTCCGACACTGTGTGTTGAAGACACAGCCTCTGCCCCGCTGCGTGGCCACGCCCCCTTGTCAGGGAGCAGGCGCTGCTGCGCGCCTCTGCTCCGTCCCGGCGGCCCGAGCCTCTGTTCTCTCTGCAGCACCGCAGTCTCTTTAGTGCCGCTTTGCTGTCGGTCCAGACACCAGGCAGCATCTGTCCTCTGCCCACCAGGCGTCTCTGTCTGTGCGGGGCTGGCTCTTCTGGGCCCGGGCCTCCCCACGTGGACTTGAGAATCAGTTCTTCAGGGTCCACAAAACACCGTGCTGAGATTCGGACTGGAACTGCATTGAGTCTGGCACCTTGACAGTAGCGAGGCTCCCTATTCACTGACGTGGGATTCCCCCTGTTTATTTAGTTCTTTGAGGCTTCTCATCAGTTGGGTCATTTTGTCATATGGCTCTTTTACACATCTTATTAGACCTATACCTAAATACCTAATTTTGGGGGTGTAATGTAAATGGTACAGTGTTTTTTTGTTTTAATTTCACTTATTTATAGTATATAGGAGATCAATAAACTTTTATATATTAACCTTGTATCCTATAATTTGCTATGATTGCTTAGTTCCAGAGTTTTATTGTCTGTCTCTTAGGATTTTCTACATAGGCAATCATGTCCTCAGTGAACAAACGCCATTTGATTTCCCTCTCGCCAGGCCGCATCCTTTTCCTTCATTGTTGGGTGTGTGGACGCAGACATCCAGCCTGGCGCGGAAAGCGGCGACGAGGGGCAACCTGCCGGCCTGGCAGCCGCTCCTCGAGGGGGAGCGGCAAGGTCCTCACCGTGAAGTGTGGTTTTAGCCTGTGCTTCATAGATGTTTTTAATCGAGCTGAGGAAGGTCACGTCTGTTCTTAGTTTGCTCAGTGATTATCGTGAATGGGTAGTGAACTTTGTCAGCTGTTTTTTCTGTATCAACCAGTGTGATCATGTGATTTTTCTATATTTGCCTGTTGCTGTGAGGAACACATACGTGTTGCATTTATCGATTCTCAGGTGTTGAACCAGCCTTACATATGTGGGGTAAATCCCACTTGTTCATAGTGTATAATCGTTCTTGTACATTGTTTAATTATATTTGCCGATATTTTTGAGGATTTTTGTAAATATATTCACGAGGAATGATGGTCTACAATTTTCCTGTCTTGTAGTGTCGTTACCTGGTTTGGGTATTAAAGTCATGCTGACCTCGTGGAGTGTGTTGGCATGTGTTCACTCTGCTTCTATCTTCTGGATGAAACTGTGAAGAATTGGTAGCAGTTCCTCCCCAGGTGTTTGGTGTAATTCATCAGTGGATCCATCTGGGCCTGGAGCCTTCAGTTTTGGAAGATTATTAATTATTGATTCAATTTCTTTAATAGGCCTATTTTTTTTTACTTTTTTTTATTTTGTTAAATCGTTGTTCAAATGTAGTTGTCTCCATTTTCCCGCCACCACATTCCCCCACCCCACCCACCCTTACCTCCCACCCTCAGTCCTTCCCGCCTTTGGTTTGTCTGTTTCTTCTTGTGTGATTTGTCCGATTGTGCCTTTCGAGGAATTGGCCCATTTCATTGAGGCTCTCAAATGTTTGGGCATTGAGTTAGTCATAATATTTCTGTATTATCCTTTTAATGTCCATGGTATTTGTAGTGATATCTCTTTTTTCATTTATGATATATATTAGTAATTTATGTGTTTTCTCTTTTCTTCTTAGCCTGTCTATAAGCATCATCCCTTGTATTGATCTGTTCAAAAAACAAACTTTTTTGCTTTTGTTGATTTTCTCTATTGATTTCCTGTTTTCAGTTCCATTGATTTCTGTTCTAATATTTATTAATTTCTTCTGCCTGCTTTGGATTTAATTTGTACTGCCCCCCCACCCCCCGCCAAGTGGAAGCTTAGATTACAGATTTCATATCTTTCATCTTTTCTGATATATGCATTCAGTACTATAAATTTCCTTCTGTGCAGTACAACCCACAGATTTCGATAAGTTGTATTTTCATTTTCATTTAATTTGGACTACTATAAAATTTTTGTCGAGATTTCATCTTTGACCTATGTGCTATTTAGAAGTATGTTGTTTAATATCCAAGTATTTTGGAGTTTTCTGCTATTTTTCTGTTACTGATTTCTAGTTTAATGGTGGTCTGAGGGTAGACATTGGATGATTTCTGTTCTCTTAAACTCGTCCAGGTGTGTTCTATGGCCCAGAATGTGCTCTGCTCCAGTGAGTGCTCGTGTGAGCCTGAGAAGAGAGTGTGCTCTGGGCTGGTCGCATGAGGTCGCCTGTAGGTGTTGGGCACATCCCGCCCGTTTACTGGGCTCCCGTGTGCACCTGCGTCCTTTGTGACGCTTGCCTGCTGGGTCCATCTGTCCCTGACAGACGGACGTCCGCGTCTCCGACAGACAGGTGTCCAAGCCTCCAGCTGCGGCCACG